TGTCTTCTGTCATTTGTGTTTCAAATGTCCAATAAGAGTCGGAGCTCATAGGGCTGTGAGTCATAGACCGCATGCTCTGGTGTGAACGAACCAACAGGATGAAAGGAATGCGAGTCTGCCTTTATTACAGGATTTTGTTTGTTCTCTCTCCATCTCGCTCTCTCTCTAATGTTTTGTTTACGCTTTTAATGATATCACCTCAAGGTAATCCACACCACAGCTGCTGACAGAAAAGGACATCACTTTGTTCTTGTAGAAATTTGAGCAGCGAATGCTAAAAAGCGAAAGAAAAAGGAAGAAAAAGCCCTGATTTATCTCTTTTGAAATGGCCAGGCGCTTAAAGGAATAACAGAAATGAAAATTATTATTTACTCAACCTTATGTTGTTTCAAACTTCTATGATGTTTCTTTTTTTCTCTGTAAAACATAGGGAGAAATGTTACAGAATGCACTAGCTATTTTTTTCTCATGAAAGTGAATATTGATCTGAACAACAAAAGTGGCATAAAAGTATAATCAAATTGGACCACACACACACACACACAAAGGTTTCTTATTGGCATTGATGGCTCCATGAAGAACGTTTAACATCCATGGAACATTTTCATTGCACCAAATATACTTTATAGTGTGAAAAGATACTTCAGATTATTGAAATATTCTTCACATTAAGAAAAAAAGGTGCTTTTAACAGAAAGATTCTTGGGGAATCCAAAACGGTTCTTCTACTGCATCACTAGTAAAACCCTCTTCTGGAACCTATTTATAAAGGAATAGTTCACCCAAAAAAAATGTATTTACTCACCCTCAAACCATCCAAGTTGTAGATGAGTTTATTACTTCATCAGAACAGATTTGGAGAAATTTAGCAAATGGGTGCCATCAGAATGAGAGTCCAAACAGCTGATAAAAACATCACAATTATCCACAAGTAATCCACCCTACTCCAGTCCATCAATTAATATCTTGTGAAGTGAAAAACAAACAAAAAAAAGCTTGTAAGAAACAAATCAATCATTAAGAGGTTTTTCATTTCATTGTTTCCAGCTAAATACGAGTCCTCTATATCCATAATATTGCTTTCTCCAGTGAAAAAGTCATCTTGTTTGAATCAGGGAAGAAATAGCACAGATCAAGCACCCTTTAGAAGCAAAAACGGTCCAAAACAGTTCTAAACACATATGATTGTAAATTTTGAAATGTCAGGACAACAGGCCGAAGGACTTTTTACCTGGAGGAAGCATGATTATGGGCTTAATATTTTGGCGAGAAACAACAGTCTAAAGTTAAAATATCTTAATGATGGATTTGTTTTTTACAAACACACAGCTTTTCAGTTCACAAGACATTAACTGATGGTCTGAAGTCATGTAGATTATAATTATCGTGATGTTTTCATCAGCTGTTTGAACTCTCATTCTGACGGCACCCATTCACTGCAGAGGATCCATTGGTGAGAAAGTGATGTCATGCTAAATTTCTCCAAATCTGTTACCATGAAGAAACAAACTCGTCTACATCTTGGATGGCTTGAGGGTGAATCAACTTTCAGCTAATTTTAATTTTTGGGTGAACTGTTCCTTTAAGAGTTTATAACTTGTATTCCAAGAAAGAAAGCAATTTCTACGGGTTTGGAAGGACATGAGAGTGAGTAAATGATAACAGAATTTTCATTTGTAGGTGAATTATCTCTTTAACCCAGGTACAAGTAAGGGTAACCATGGAGGTGCCAAAGCCAATGACGTAGAGCTTCAGGGCCGCTCCATGCTTTCTGGCACATGAGGAGCCCAATGTGCCAGCGCCCCAGCAGGAGACGCAGTCTTTCTGCTCTTGCTACATCATGGAATCTGTCCTCATATGCTGCTATCCTGTAGGCATAACTGGTTCCCCCACACATGCCTTTCCAAGAATTACATAGAAGGGAAATGCAAATTCACAAAATGCCCTGCAGGAAGTGACGCACGTGACTGTGGTTTTTCTTTACAGGCATCTGGCAGTCATATATTTGGCTTTATGGCGTGAAATGAGGAGGGGAAAATGAAACACTGTGATTGACAGGTTTGCAAACAAGGACATGGCAAGGTGCTTCAGTGAAGAACAGAAAATGACATTTTTACTGAAATGCATCTCTGCAGTTATTGCCTCTAGGCTATTTTTGGTCTTATTGCTGACTGAGGCCATATTCTCATGACATTTAGTATTATAGCACGTTTGATTAAGACGTGTCTAAGGTCATTCTAAAATAACAGCCTGATGTAAAGGACAAAGTACAGTATGTGTGAAAACGAGTGGCCGTAATTGTTCTTTAATGATGGCTGTGTGAATAAAGCATGCTCTTGCTTTAATCCTAATTAAGATAAATCCCTAACAATAACTGACCGTTGTTATTATTTGTCATCTCTCAAAGCCTGTACCAGGCAGATAATACAAAAAGTGAATAGTTTGCATTTCCTGAATGAAATACCAGTTCTTGCAAGGCAGCAAAAGTATAGTGTTAAAGGTTTTAGGCTTTGGTTCTGCATAGATAAAATGCCACATCACACCCGCTTTCCCGCCATTATGACATTCAGTGCGCATCTTGTTTTCTATCAGCTGTGCATGAAAATCAATGCAGAAAGCAGAGGCTAAGATGGTTAAAGAGCTGTAAAATAGCTTTCAAAGACCAAATCTTGCATGTAAATAAAAGCAGTTTCTTAAAAAGTAAGTACAAAATGTGTGGTGTGGTACAGGTTCGAGATGCTTAAAATGACAAAACCACGATAATAAAGGCAAAGGCACTTCCTATTGTTACAGAGGAGGCTTCCGTACTGCCTCCTCCTCACCACCAGAGGGAACTCTCTCCTGAATATTGACTTTATCCATTCGGACTCCAGTTCCCATCATGCCTCATACCTGGGACTGATTGCACGCACACACCTGCATCTAATCACACACACACACACACATTTAAGCCAAACACTCACATCAGCTCACTGCGAAGTCTTGAATTGCCCCGGCTGTCACTACTGAGCGTTTACCCTGTATCTTGCCTTCTCGTTTGACCTTGGACTGTTTATCGTACTCTGATTCTGTCTCTGCCTGCCCTGACTTGGATTGTTCTACCACTGTGATTGTCTGCCGCCTGCCTCGACCTCCTGCCCGTCCCACGTTCTGTCTCAGCCTAAGCCTCCGCTATTGTATTTACTGGTGATTGACCCTGTCTTGTCTGTGTACGCAATAAACGCTGCAAATGGATCCAGACTCTGCTGATGATT